CTTCTACACAGATGTTATTTATCTTAAAGGAGTTGTTTATCTAACAATCATTATTGATTAATTATTAAAACAATGACGTTGTGATTAATTATAATTACTAAGTATAACCAGTCATTCTTATTAATTTGCTATAGGGCACATGCATTCACAAGAGAGAGAAAGAGAAAGCTGCCAGGTCTGGGACTGGAACCGTGGCCCACCATGTGGGAGTCCAGTGCCTTAACCATCATGTCATCTACTGACCCCAGATGTTATTTTTGAGATGGCTGGAAAGTTTGAAGTTGAAGTACATATTAGAAGATGACAAGGAACTGGGACCAGCAATTAGCGTAATGGCTATGTCACTGAACTCCCACGTAGTCGACCGCAGTTCGAGTCCCAGACCCCGTGGCTTAAACTCACGCCAGGTGCGTGTGCGTGCGTGCCCAAGATCCCGAGAGGAGAATGGAGGAGAAGGGATTGTGGCGTGGCCATCTCCCCTGGGGGGTGATTTCTCGCTTTCTATCTCTCTGGGGAGTGCACGCACCCTATAGCAAAAACCTCAAAAACCTCAAAAAAAAAAAAAAAGATGACAAGGAACTAACGAGGTATAATAATGACAATGTGGGTACGTCTGAGTCCCAGATGCATCCTCAGCATGTACGAGTGAGTGACAGGATCCTGAGACTTGTGCTGATACATTTCATTAGTGAAAAAAGAAAGAAAATTAGGGAGAGGAAATGTGGCAAAACTTGACCATTTGTTGAATCTACATGATAGGCACGTGGGGTTCATTGTATATTACCTCTACTTTTAGATACGTTCAGAAACAAACCCTGTGCAACAGTGAGCTCTTACGGATGTGCAGCTTATTCCCAGTAATATTGTGAAAAGTACAAGTGACTACTTACACAGGGGCCGTCATGCAGTTTAGTTATGTTCAGCCCTTCATATCTGAAAGAAGTTATATTTTGAAATGGTTATTTCTGCTCTGTGGTATAACGTAAATTATGACTTAGTTTTACTTGAGATTCTTTGGCTACATTTGAGAGGGAAACATTCTGCTAATAAGGAGTTCTTATTCAACAGATATTTAACAATACCTACTAATGAATAAAGCTATTGAATTTAGTAATCATGTCTATAAATTTATACACACAGTACACAATCCCATTTCTAGAAAATCCAAAAGAGCGAATATAAAAGCTACTAAACCCAATAGATTCAACACAATTGGCAGAGGACAAGATTAATATACTTCTGACAGGACATAAGCTGGTTTAGTCTCTATGGGAAGCAGTTTGGTGTTCCTCAAAACATTAAACACAGCAGTACCCAGCGAGCCCGCCTCCCAGGTCTGTACCCCAGCACTGAAGGCAGGTGCCCAGATGTCTGTACACAAATGCTCACAGCACTACCCAGCGAGCCCGCCTTCCAGGTCTGTACCCCAGCACTGAAGGCAGGTGCCCGGATGTCTGTACATAAATGTTCACAGCAGCGCTGATTCAGTGACTAAAAGGTGGAAACCAGCTAAATGCCCGTCAGTGAACTAAAGGAAGAAACCTGTGGTATAGACATACAGTAGACATTATTCAGTGATTTGAAAAAACAATAAAATATGCGTGCTACGATGGGGTGAACTTGGCAGCTTGCTCAGAAGCCAGACTGAAAAGGTCACACCTTGCACATTTTCTTTTATGTGACATATACAGAACAGGGAGCCCGTGGATATGGAAGATTGCTGGTTCCCAGAGACTGGGGGAGAAGGTAACAGGAAATGACCACTTAGCAGATAAGGGGTGGAGCCAGCAGGTGGCTGTTGCCCAAGGCCCTGGACTCCCACAGTGGCTGACTGCTGTGAGTTTGAACTGGTAGCTTGGCGGCTTAAACTCATGCCAGGTGTGTGTGCATGCATGCCCAAGATCCCAAGAGGAAAATAAAGGACAAGGGATTGTGGTGGTCATCCCCCCTGGGGGTGATTTCTTGCTTTCTGTCTTTCTGTTCTGTCTTTCTGGCAAGCACATGCACGCTATAACAAAAAAAAAAAAAAAAAAAAAAAAAAAAGGACAACCCCATATAGCTTAGGTGTGTCATGGGGTACCCATCTGGGTTTGTGAACTGCCCAATGACACGTGTCTCAGAACATGCCGCTGTTAAACAGTGAGGTAGGCTAAGTATAACCGAAGCACGTACCATGTATAAAGATGTGCTTTCTATAACCGAAAGAGCTCAGAGAAGCGGGGAATTGATCATGAGTGAAATGCATGGGAAAAAGAGCAGAAGTCAGGAGGAGGGGAAGAGACGTAGGTCTGATGTTCTTAGGCCTTGGCCGTCCTCGAGGCATAGGACTTCATCTCCAAATCGAAGTTAGACAAGGACAGGGTTTAGGTTTTCTTAAATGAGAAAGCTGGTGTCAGGAATCCTCCCCTCACATCATATAAACTCCTGTGCCTCCCTGTTCCTCTTAGACCAGAGAACTGGGTATATATTTTTAAAGAATTATTTTATTTTATTCATCGTTATTTATTTTTACTTTTAAAAGTTGACCAGAGAGAGAGAGAGGAAGTGAGAAAGTAAGTTGCCAGGTCCAGAACTCGAACTGTGGTCGGCCATGTGGGAGTCCAGCGCCCTAACCACCACACTACCTGCTGGCCCCGAGAATTGGGTGTTCTAGCTGGGTGTTGGCTAGAGCTTCTAACCACAGGCCACCTTGAAAGTTGAATTAATCTCTAATGCTGGAGATGAATAGCCATTCGAGGGAAAATAAGCCATTAGCTGGAGAGGGCGTTCGCCCAGCTGACTGCTCCTGGCTTCTGTTCTTTGGTGTGAGGGCACGGGGAGGGTCCTCATTACTGCAGGTGGCTGCATGCCACTGAGTGCCTTACCACCCAGGACTTTCTGTTAGAAGGGCACGGGGAGCGGGGAGGGCCCTCTGGAGGGAAGGTCTAGCCGGATGGTGTAGGAAGCGTGGTGCTGTCACCTTTCGTCCCCTGACTTGAGAAGGAAGGAATAAGACGGACTCACAGAATTTTGGAGCAGAGGTGGCACTCGCCGTTGTAGGTAACCTGGTCACTGCCGCATACGAGTTCAGTCGGCTGGATGAGGGAGAGGAACCAGCACTTACTTACGTTGTGCCCGCACTGGACCTGAGGGGACAGAGCGCTGCTTCAGTGCCGTTCTGCAGGTCCTCTGGCCGTTGCCAGGCCCGTGTCCGCCTGCCTCAGCACGCGCGTGTGTGTACGCTGTGGTGTGTGAGCTGTGTCCTTCCTGCTGTCCACACGCGGTGGTGGTTAGGTTAGAGAGCAGAAGCAGGAAAAGGTCTTTCAGGGCGAGAATTTCTTAGCACAGTATCTGGTGCGTGGGCCGTGGGTGAGGGTGTGGGAGTGGGTAGACTTCACGGGGCCTTGGTGTGCGGGCGGCAGGGTGTGTATCCTGGCGTCCGTGGGGACGATGTCCGTGCCAGAAGCACCCTGACTTCCTCATGAGCACAGTCCTCGCCGCCTATCCCTCGGGCGTCCTGCGAGCTACTGTGACTGCATGGGAAGAGGCTCTGGGGACACGCAGGCCACGGCCACGCAGACCTGGTGGCTCAGCTTTTATTGTTATTCCGTGCGGGTCCCCGCCCTCCCAGAAGGAGCAGGGCTCTCCGAGAAGTTGACGCTCCCCCCTCCTGTTCTTGGGAGCCAAACAAGCAGAACTCACCTTCGTCTCTTCTAGACCAGCCCCCTCAGAGGTCAAGGAAGGAAGGAGGTCTGGAAGACAAAAGCACATTCCAGAGAGTGGCCTCTGCCCGCGGGGAGGAGGGGGACCCGGTTAGCACATCCAGTGGAAGGAGGGGGGCCCCGGTTAGCATGTCCAATGGAAGGAGGGAGACCCTGGTTAGCATGTCCAATGGAAGGAGAGGGACCCTGGTTAGCATGTCTAATGGAAGGAGGGGGACCCCGGTTAGCATGTCCAATGGAAGGAGGGGGACCCCAATTGGCACATCGAATGGATCAAATTCTATCAGAAGAGGCTGGGATTCCTCTGTGATAGGGGGCACCACCAAAGCACTGAAGAAGAAATAGCTTCTCACCCCTTGTAAATAGAGATCTTAGTTCCAGCCCTGTCACTTCGTAGGTAAATAACAGCTTCTATGGCCTTTCTCAGTTGTTTCCAGAAAACATGCTCTAAGTTACTACTACTTACCAGAAGCAGGTGCATTGACATGCCTTTGAAGGGCCCTGAAGTTCATTAAGGCTTACACGCTGGGGACCAGCAGGTGGTGTGGTGGTTAAGGCACTGGACACTTCTACATGGCTGGCCATGGTTTGAGTCTTGGACCTGGAAGCTTACTTTCTCACTTTCCCTCTCTCTCTCTCTGGTCATATTAAAAATAAAAATGAATGAATAAATGAAATCAAATAAATAATTCTTTTTTTTTAGGGGGGAAAGGTTTTTGCTATAGGGTGTGTGCGCTCACCAGAAAGACAGAGAGAGAGA